GCATCTCTTTTGTTGCAACATTTTCTTTTTACAATGGTGAGAATACTTAAGTTGGTATCTTTACAACTTCTGATTTTCTTTCAGAATAGCACAGCACACTCTTTCCTGAGAATTATACTTTTAGTAGATATCTATGGCTAAAGTTCAAAACCAGACAGGTATATCCATTTACAATGTAGCAGACTCTTCGTCATGCTTTACGTTTTCTTCGGAAAACTAGCCAATGTAATTTTTTGAAAATTTCCTTTTTTCTCCTCCCTAATAGCAGAACAAGTATTCTATGTAAATTCAAGCCATTAAGTTGGCTTGTTTCTCCTGGAAAAAACAAGGTAGGAGTGGAAATTTTGAAAGGCGGCAATAGAGGTACGTCGTCTTGCACTTTGTCCATCGATGAGTCAGGAATCTTGATGGCAATCCGTTTACTTGGAACAGGGGGAAACTGAATGAAACTGACTATAAGCAAGTCTCAAAGTCATGTTTCGCTTGATATTTTCTTAGTTGTCTGCTGAGTGGCGCTGCATTGACATGCTCATTACAGACAATTTCAGCTTTCTTTTGCTCTACCCCAACGTCCCTGCCTTCTTTCAGCGCCTTTCTATCAATTCAAAGTGTTCTCGTATCTTCAGAGGCCTAAAGCCTCAATGTTGTGTAAGCTTCGTTACATATATTTGTCCTTTTGATTATCTTTTTATCATAAGTCAGTTACTTATAGAGGACCCCAGTTATCTGCTCTGAAAAAGTGGAGATTAAACTATATATTTTCATAGCCAAAGAAATTTCTCTAAATTAGCGCTGGAATTTTTGTTTAGCAATTCAGGTGTATCCGAGCAAATATTTTAGACTCGCGCATTAATTTTGAGTATCAGCAAGCAATCATTCATTAGATTTTTGAGATTGCATCATTGTAATCATTAATAAGTAAGACCATGAGCTTGCCTGCACATTTTAATTTAAATAAACAAACATGAAAAATCATTATTTAAATCGCTGGGATTTCTTGGAGAAGAAAAACATGTATTTATCTCTCATAAAATTTTATCAAAATGCATTCCAACTTTTATACCAGTATTTAATGTGGTTATTTTCTATGGAAAAAATCTACCCGTTTCATAGAATATTTTGATACAATTTGATCCATAAACTTGGCAAGTTGCTTAGCTGAGGAAAAAATTGCGATCTCTTCAAATTTATGGAAACAACTGACTGTTGATAAAGGGACAGAATGAGGCCTGACCCTACTTTTTCCTGAGAAATCTAATCTCCATTGAAATAGAGGATTATGTAAAGTGCCATCTTTGGAATTCGCGAGGACTACTAATTTTCTTGGTCCATATGACATTTTTGGATATTTTAGACTGCCGAAAAATCAAAAACATATGACTTCTGGCTGAAGAAGAGAAAGAAATGTGAAAAGAAGAAGGGAAAGAAAGGTGAAGGTAGGTAAGAAGAGATGAAAAAAACAAGCCTTACTAAATTCCTCATGCACATGTTGTTGCGACCAAAAGTATCATCTACTCAGGATCTAGGTATTGCTCAAGTTTCTAAATTCAGTCACTGCTGTCATCTTAAAGTTTTTCTCTCATCTCAAAATTGATGTTCTAGGTATCGCCAACTGACAGCCCTGACCAACCTCGATTTTATAGAAAGGTACCATTTTACCTAAGTAGTAAACATGTTTAGCTTTACATGTTTTTATATTCTGCTTTATCAATTCTTCGACTTTTTAGTGATATTTCGCGTTTATGTGTACTTGTAGGTACATGATGATGATGTGTAGATTAGACAATAGTGCTTTTTAATGTGACTTCACTTTTCTATCTGCAGGGAAAATAAAAGGTGGCACAACCAGCAAAATAATTGAAAACTTGGTTTTGAACATCGAACAACAATTTAGAAGAAAAGTAGTGGACTCCAATTGATTTGCAGACATACCTACTTTAAAAATCCAAACTCAGGTCACTTTTATGCGAGCATAAAAAAAATCTATCTTGTCTTATAATACCTGATGGTCTGCTAATTTTAAACCAGCTCTATTACTCTGAGTATGACAAGGAGAGAGTCCTTATTCAGTTTTCAAGCTCTATGTAAGTGCTTACCTTTCCTCAGGTTAAGTCTAAATAATTTGAAGATGAAAAATTCCCAAGTTAGCAATTTTCCCTATTCTACCCATAGAAGTTGGAGCTGCGATCAAGGCGCAGTGTCATTATTGTTGGCTTTTTTTTTTTTTTTTTTTTTTTTTTTTTATTGCCATTATGTGAAAATGTTAAAAACTTAAATGCGTCTATTGTCTTCACAAACTGGCCTCAAATCTCTCAAAACGGGAAGTAGGTAACTCTATTTTTTATGAAAAAATTTAATGTACTTAGATGGTGAAACACTAACAAAGGGAAAAGAAGCACTTCTTTATTTAACTGAGCAGAAAAAAAAAGTGAAAAATGAAATAATGATAGGTATGCTGATTAGATACCCTTTTTATTTGGAAGTTTTAATGGTCTGAGGACCTCAGATTCCATACCTTAGATAGATAACAACAAGGACGAACCACCGAAACCGATGGTTGTGCCACTTACACGAAAATAATTCACGCATTATTGTTGGTGTAGCTTTTCTTGCTTTCTTTTTGTTTCTGTATAAGCACTTTGTTTTCTGTACATGATTCTTAGTTTTCTACTCTATTTGTTTTCATTTTCTTGCTCTATTCTTTGGTTCGTTCTTTGTTTCAATCTCTCTCTAGAAAAATCGCACGCTGTTAACATTGTAATTGTTAGAAAATTCAATGTTCTATCCCAAATATGCTCACATCATACTCTATCGTTCTCTATAATATAGAATGATTAGATTAACGCATAACACCTGAAGCGTGAAGCGGTTCGGAGGGAGGGGCGAAGCGGCCAGGGGGCGCCGGCGCCCCCCAGTCTTCATGAAATCCTTATTTGGCGGGTGAATCATTAAGAAACTCCCATCGCAAACCTTAGGCTCCTCATCAATGGCCTTCAGTTCATATAGAGACACCCATTTTCAACTTAATCGTAATCTGATCGAGTAAGTAATCAAAGTTAAAGCACAAATAACTCAACAGGGTGTTTAGCATCAGGATTTTCCCGATTCCTCCGATTCTATCAGGATTTGAGGTCAATCAGGATTTAATCCCGATTTTATCAGGATTTGAGGAAAAATCGGTTGTAAAATCAGGATTTGAGTGAAATCGGCCGTCCGATCGGATTTTTTTTTTAGAGCTAACCTACCTATATATTTTTGTGAAGTTACTTACATTTGCCTAATTTTTCTCCGCAAGAAATCAGGATTTGGTTAGGATTTAGCAGTCAAAAATCAGGATTTCCTAAAAGGAAAAAAACCTAGACACCCTGCTCAAGATTCATGAACTTTTCGATATTTTGATTTCCTTAAGCCCGGAAGTCTTCCATCCTGTCTAATATTAGAAGATGAGAATGGATGGGAACGGGGGAGGATCTCGGTAAATTGTGCGCTCATTGTCGTTTATTTCCCATGACTCTCGCGCTTTTTTCCTTTGCACAAAGTGCGTTTCAATGAATTTGAGATACGTCTTGTGGTTATCAGCCATTTTCATTAGCGCGTAATTAGTCCATGTAAGTGGGTCATACGTATTTCATTGCTACGGGTTTGAGCGGCGTTATCATCCGAATGTTTGGCGTGAACTTTGACCTGGCTGCCCTTGAGTCTTGGTTTCTGACCTTTTCTCCTCGTTTTTTCATTTGTATCTCCCGCCATTCGTTGGATCGCTTCGAATGGATGAGTGATTTTAGTCCAATCATCGGAGACAAGTGCCGCAGTGGCGTGTCATGCTTTGCGATGTGTCGATTGGTCTGCCATTTAAACCTATGGAAAGGGATCGACGAACAGGGTGTTCGCAGCGAACATCTTAATAATCGATTCTTTACCATAGGTTTAAATGGCATAACAATCGATACATCGCAATTCACGCCACGCCACTGACAAGTGCCTCTCAAGTAGTCTCCATAGGCTTCGAAAAGCTCCGACTTATTGTTGGATAAGGGAATGATGGACTAAGTCGAGATTCTCTCATGGGTTGCTGTTTGTTAGTCTATTACCTACCTCCTTTGTCTATTGCAACCACCAATTGGATCCCTTCATATCCTATTTTTCTTCTTTGTCTATCGCCTTGTCTATCAATTTCAACAATCAGTCCACTGCAAATCGGTGAAACCAGCCGCTATCGTTCGTCAGGAACCTGCGGGCTGATCATTGAAATTGACAGACAAAGCGATGGACAATGAAGCAGGCAAAGGGATAATGCTGCAATCCTATTGGTTTGAATGTGTGGTTGTTGTAGAACGGGACTAAATGTAGGGTCTCTTGTGGGTTGCCGTTTAGTTAGTCTATCATACTTACTTCCTTTGTCCGATGCAACAGATGCAACCACCCGCTTCCATCTACAGGAGTGTCGGCTCGATTGTTGAATCGATATCGAATGACCTTGATCGATACAAAGCATTTCTAGGATAGGGATTTATCGATCAGGATCATTCGATAACAATTCAACAATCGAGCCGCTGGATTGCTCCATTTTCCCGCCGTTTTCTTGTCTATCGCTTTTTGTCTATCAATTTCAATAATCGGCGCGCAGGATCGTTCCATTTTCCCGCTGTTTTCTTATCGATCGAGTTGTCTATCAATTTCAATAATCAGCCAGCTGAAAACCTAAAATCTCACGCTCAAGGACTCAAAACGGTTATTTTTCAAGGCGGATCGTAATGATCATATGTTTTCAGAGGAATATTCTCCATGGAGATGTTATTTTTTTCCCCGACCGATAAACTCTTTTCTCGACGGTCCGTCGTCCGAGCTGTCACGGAAAATTTAGTGTCAATTAAATTTTCATTCAGGCGGTCGAGTTTTGAAACGTAGAAATCAAAATTTTCAGTTTTGATTCACCGTTTTTCATCTCGGAGAGGGCTCAGTCGATGATCAAGGAATCCGAAATTCTTTGCGTCAGTTTCGCAGTTGTCGTCATAATGCAAAATCCGAGAGGGCTCCTACGTCCGGCCCACGATGGCGACGCAAGTGAACGAAAATCTAGAATCTCCTTTGACGATATCGACCAGGTATAATTATTTTTCCCCAGTTATCTTTTTATGAACGTCGCGTGTCAACCCTGAATGGTTAAACCGCTGAACGGAGTAGCTTAAGCTTCGAAATGTGGGTAGTAGGAGTAGGTAGCAAATTCTAAAGGGAAAAAACAAACACTCCCACACGCTGGTATCACACACCATGGGGATGATTGGACGGTCGCATCATTTGAATCGCATGTAGTTGAAAGGAACCAGTGCGGTTACAATGTTTTCAAAATCGTGAAACTTCCTCTTTTCTTTTAGTATGACTTATGCATGTACATTTTAAACATTTATCCCATTAATATCCCATAGAATGAAACATTTTTCAGTGGGAGGCAAATATTATTCGCTATTCTCGGAGGATTTTTAGATAAGTATGAAGAAGCAGATTTTTACAACAGTAAGTTGGAATTTGTCAGCTAACGTGCGTTAAATTTTTACAACACTCTAATTTTACAATACGCTGATTCCTTTTTGCGAAGTACGATCCAAATTGTATTTTGGCTTCCCACGAAAAAATTGTCAATTTTGAAGGAAAATAATAGTGTTAATTATAATACTGTACACATAAGTATTTTTAAAAGAGAAGAAGTTTCACATTTTGAAAACACTGAAATCGCGCTGGTTCCTTTTTGCTAAATGCGATCCATTTCATCGAGGTGATTCGATGGACGCCATATTTTGTGTCAGTCAGAACGGCATGCGATATATCGCATCGATTAGTTCCATGCTTTCAACTACCTGTCGTTTTTTATCGATTTTTGAAACGTCAATACCTTTTTGTAAAAATCTCGACCGCGATAAAATGAAATAAACCATGAAAAAACAACCCATAAAGCATTTCAGGACTTGAGAATAGGAGTACTCAGCACTGCCCTGCCATGCTAAGGAAAATCGCCGTTGTGATCATTTGAAAGTTGCCAAATTTCCTCGGATAAAACATGTATTTTTGAGGAAAGTCACTCATTTTTTCCCTTGATATATTCGGATGTTTTAGATCAAAGTACGAACGAAATTATTTGAAAAATTTGGAGACAAAAATTCAACATTCTTTCGGTAAATTCGATTTTTATCGAAGAGAATCGGGAAACGTCTGAAGGCTCATACGGCGTTTTTCCTTAGTATGGCAACAGTGGCGTGGCGTGCTTTGTGGTATATCGATTGATCGGCCATTTAAACCTATGGAAAAGTATCGATAAACAGGGTGTTCGCAGCGAACACCTTAAAAATCGATTATTTACCACAGCTTTAAATGGGGAAATATCGATAGATCGCAAAGCACGCCACGCCACTGTATGGCAAGAAAAAAACGCCGTGAGAGTATACTAACGTTGCCGAATTTTTTTCGATGAATTATTATGTCAAAGACGAAATGATCAAGATGTTTCTTGTTACTTTCATGTTTACAAAATTGACAGAAATTGCGGGAAATATTCTCTAAAAATTTTACAGAAAAAAAGTGCATACGTTTTCTCGTTTGCTTTGGGATTAGATATTTTGGCAGCGCTTAAATGTTCATGCGTCATTTTGCCTTATTACGGCTGTAAAGGATGCAAGGCAGATGAGAGGGTGGCGGCTGGCCAAATTGTCTGTCAAAATTACACTGAGCCGTCGTGATGCCTCCGAGCAATAAAACACAAACGATCAATTGGATCGCGTTAAGCAGTAAGGAACCAAGCCACATCAGCTATTGCCAAATTCAACTGGACAATTTGATTTTTTAACGAAAATGGTTGTGCGTATTCTTGAGAAAATTTCAGTGAATTTTCTGCATGGTACGCAGCAAATAGCTTGAGTTTCAAAGGAGTCCGCACAAACTTTTACTTGTACAATATTTAAATACCCAGTTAAATTTGGCAATGGCTGATGTAGCCTGGTTTCTTTCGGCTTAACACGGTCAAATTCTAATTGCTTTTCCCCGATTTTAAAAGAGTGTGATCGCGTAAAATCACACCCTCGTTATTCTGATGATTTTTTTTGAGAGGCCATTCAGCTTCATCCATTTTCCCGCAGAATATACATACATATATTAATTTGCCTCATTTTAAAACTGAACCTATACTCCACGGCAATCCGAGTGGTGTTGAATTAAGCAGAATCTGAGTGGTGTTGAATTAAGCAGAACCCTCCCGATAATTCAACGGAAGGGTGTAAAAAAAAGGAAGATCAGCTCGCGCTGGAATGAAAATAGTCAGTTTTCCGCGAAATTGTAGAAAAATCGCGGAAATTTACATCTGACGAGAGAAGAAGAGTGGGATAAAAAGTTATCGCGCGAAAATAAATGTTCAAGGAAAAGGGTGAATTTATGGTGCAGTGGAAGATTAAAGAACTGAAAGAGCAAGAAAAAAATTTCTTTGCATCCCTAAGTGTCCGCGCCTGGATTCGATCCAAAATTCCGTTGCAATTTAAGAGCTTTCGCGGGTGAACTCTGAAGGATTACTTAAGGTGATTCGATGGCCGCCTTATTTTGTGTCAGAACAACATGCGATTTACCGCATCGATTAGTTCCATGTTTTCAGCGACTTGTCATTTTTATCGAATTTTGAAATCGCATTTTTTGCTGTCGCGAGGCTGAAGAATTCACTTTTACCTTTGACAAACAAATTCAACATAATAAAGGAAGGATTTTTTAGAGGAGAAACATCGTATTCGAGTTCAGTTTCCTTATCAGTATCGAACACGACGATTCTCCTCTAAAAAAAACCCTGCCTTCATTGAGTTCAATTTGTTTGTCTAATTTAGTGAGTGAATTCTTCAGCCTCGCGACAGCAAAAATGCGATCTCAAAATTGAAATAAATTCATACAAGCGAAATACATGTATTCACAGATATTTTTATTAAGGGCATAATCGGCAACATTGAATTGGCACTCCTCTCGCTGGCTGGTTAGCCATTGCGTAATAACAAATGAGTAATGAATATTGTGCACGGGGCATGTTTGATACATAATGCAGTTGTCAGATTTTTCTCTTTATCTTTTGTTTTAATGTCAAGTGAATCGCAAGGTCGTAGTCACACAGAAAAAAGGGTCAAAGAAAGTGTTTTTAACTCTATGTAGAAGACATTGTCCTTTGATTCTACGATTTTATTTTTTTCCGTGCGGATTTTTTTACTTAATCACAATTGTCGTGTAAGAAAGAGTCGTTTTCGTAATTCAAACGAATGTTTCATTTTTAAAAAATTGCAACCTTGTCATCGATGACGAATTCATTTTTCTTCTAATTGACATTTTTTTTTGCATTCTACGACTGATAATTTCCCTCGTCATGAAAAGGATTTCTAGTAAAATAATGTTTTTACTATATTCAACAACAAACGAAAACAAAAATTGCGCCCTTTTTGAAATAAAAGAGAGTTTTGAGCGATTTTTTTTTCAGTGGATGCACAGTTGATGATGAATTTGAGGGAGGGTATTTTTGCACTCAAATGAGACCAAAAGAAGGTCTCTTTGTTGCATAATCATCCACCCAAAACTAGCATTGATGAGTATTTAAGCTATCGTAGAATGCATTCTTAAGCAGATCCTTTAGTGCAAAATGAATTTTGGCCATAAAGATTAAAATTACCTCAATTTGCAACGCCCAAGTTTCGTTGGATCGTTGACTTTCCGAAAAGGCATTTTGAACCAACTTCCTCTAAATTTGACGGTTTTATCTGGGTATATTTGTTTTTATGCGTGGACCCATGTAAGAATGTTCTTGTTCATGTAAACCATAGGCGGCTCTCTTATTTTCATTTCTATGCATTTATAAACTTATTCGTCATAATTTTACAAAATTATTATGTTTGTTGGGCAACTATGTTGATTTTCATTCATTCATGAGTTGCGCTGCTATTAGCCGACAGCTTTTGAAGGTCTTCTTTTTAATTATTGTTTGCGCATTTTCTGCATCGAGGGGTTGTTCATTCAGTGACGAAGCTGTAGGGCCGAAGTAGTCGTTGAAATGCGCAATTTTCCATACGTTTTTCTTTTGATTTTATCAACTTTTGATGACGTTCCGTTTTCCTCGGCAGCTCGTCAGCTTAAACTCTTTTTGAAAAACTTAGCTCAAAGGGAATTATGTTTTAATGGTCAGTTGTGTCGAGAAGAAAGAAGAGATAAGAGAGGTTGACAATGAGTTGGGATAATCCACCACCAAAGTGATCCCAGTATTTTAGTCAAATTTGATTTCCGAATAAGACGTCTTATCTATAGTCTCCTAGCAATTTTAGTGACCGTCAGTGAGGCGTGGGCAAAACGCGATCGAACGTAAACATAAAAAAAAGAAGAAAAAAATTATCAGCATGAGAATGGAAGAAGTGTTGAATTAACACAAATTGAGCTTCCTCGAAAGGCCGCGCCGTAATTTTTCAAAAGCCTATGATTAGCAAATTAGGACTGCTGCGACCGATCGAAGATGATAACGTTATTTTTTCGAGGAACACTTTATTAGTTTCTTTGAGTTGTGAGCTGTAAAAGTACAGTGAAAGTTGTTATTTTTCTTTCTTTTCTTCTTTTTTTAAAATTGATTTTTGTGGTGGAGAAGATGTCTCAGGATACTCTATCAGGGTGGAAATTTTCCACAGTGAAAGATCCGGTGACTTTGTTTGTTAAACGTGTTACATTGACTCTGAGTCGTATCACTTTTGGTAGACTTGTTTGATAATTTTGCATCTGCCCATTGCATCTAGTTCAGTTTTGACTGGTCCTGACATTTGTTTCCTGTGAGTGATTCAATCGCCATCTAGTTTACTAGTTCTCGCTTCTCTGAAGTTAGTAAGTTTGTCGAAGCGAAATCTAATTACTTCTTAGTTCGTATAAGAAAGAAGAAAAGGGTCTTTCAATTCAATTCATGAAAATATCGGAATATCTAAGTGAACAGGTAGGTAATATGTCTATTTCAGATACGTTGTTTCAATGTATCAAATCGAAGATTTCCGCCCTTACTGCAATGCGCCCCTCCTCGTGCCAGTAAACTTTAGAAAATCTATCAATGATAGCTGTGATCACA